TTATTTTTTCTAAAAAAACATAAATTGTCAACACTTAAATTAAAATAGAATAGAAGTAAAATAAATAAAATAAATAACATAAAAATAAAATAAAATAAAAATTACTATCATTTTAATAAATAAAACGTTCGATTTATTTCAAGTTCACATTTCATTCGAATGCTGTATTGAATTGCACTACTTCTATAAAGTGGTCCTTTTCTTTTCCCATTCGATGAATAGTGTTCTTGAAAATGAATACGAAAATATTTTATATTTTTATCAATATTAATGCACAAAAATGTTTCATAATAATAATATACATACAGAACACAGATGCATATAAGTATACATCCCTAGACTTATATACATAAATATAAGAATTAAAAATATATGTAAAATATGTACATATAATATTCATAAAACATTAGCTAAACTTATCAATGGTAATATATTGTAAATTTAATATATAAAAACGAGAACAATAATCTAAAATACAAGGCATTCGTACAGAAAAAGTATATAAATAAATAGTAATAAATATAATATATATACATAATAATTCCAATGAAAATGCAACACAAAATATATCATGCGAAATTTCAAGAATAAAAAACTAAAAGAAACAGAACAATGAGGATTAAATGGGTGATAAACCTCAAGAAATTAAGAAATAAATCGAAAATAGTGACTGAAATGAATACAAGGTTAAACACAAGCTTCAAAGAAAAAATTACATGATTTTATATACTAGTGAATATGAGTGACCAAACGAATACTACACAAAATCAACAGTAAAAAATCTAAATACTTAAATAGATATAATAACAAACATTTAGGACTAAAATGAAACACAATATAAATAAACGGTGGGCTCCTGGGCCCAATGTGCCTAATGGTAAGACCTTATGACCCTAAGGTACTCTCTTAGGGTGGCTCCTCTGCTGTTTGCATTGGGTAAGTCCTTATGGGCCTGAGCGCACACCCCTCGGGTGGGCACCTACGCTCCGGCTAGGGTAAGACCTTATAGACCCAAGGTGCTACCTTAGGTTGGCACCTACACCCAATGGGCCTAGGGTAAGTCCTTATGGATGTAGTTTTGGGGAAATGCATATCGGTGTTCAGTTGGAGGGTATTACTGAGGTTTTAAAATATGTTTTAAACTACTAATGTTTGTAAAGAATATTTACATATTTCTCTGTTTTGTTGGAACACACTAGACTCCCCAATTTAATCTTCTGAATCTGTCTCTCTATGAATACTTCCTTCAGACCGTAAATTATTGTTTGTAATTGAAGACTTAGCTAATGGAATATGAATTCTCCACCAGAATCTGATGATGATTGTCCCGTTAAGGAATTTATGCTTTACCTTATACTTGATTGCCTATTGCATTCATCTCGTAGTTCTGTATTACTGAGCTTTCTAAATCTCACTCTGTTACTTATCATTTCAGGTTAAAGAGTTTGATCATGTGCTTTTACCGACATTAGTAAAGGAGTTCCACTGATGTTGCTTGCGGTGTACGATGCATATAATTAGGAGGGGCATGTAGCCACATTTGATTTATATATTAAGTCTGAAACTTGTATGATTTTAATTATGTTTGTAATATATGAATGGTTTTCTGAACTTGTATTTTAATTATAAATAGTTTTATGATTTTACGCGTTTTAACAGAAATTTTAATTTTTTTCTTAGATTTTACAGTGGGTCACTCTGGTGGCTCTAATGTGACACCTCGGATCGGATTACCCGCATCGATCTGAGGCTGTTACAATACTCAAGATCATCTCACCTATTCATGCAACTGATGACATTTCAATAGACCACAACTGACAAAAGCAAACACAACAGAACTACTCTAACACCAAGGATGGATCGAGGGAGCGGTGTCGGGTGGAAGCCCCTAAAATTGTAAAATTACTACATATTTTTATAATTTTTCTATGTATTTCCTATTGAAAATTTATTTTTGACTCCCTAAAATTTTATAAATTCAAGTTCGCCTCCCCTAAAATTTTAAGAGTTCAAATTTGTCCTCTTAACATAAAAAATCCTATTTTTAACACCTCAATAGACAAGAAAAGTATATCACATTCTGACATTCAAATCAAATTACATCCAACAAACTCAACACCATCGAAAGAAAAGAAAACATTGTAAGAAATAACATTCATCCATCAAATCCCTGAAAATCTGGCCGTACATAAAGGGGTTATTCAATAATAATAGCCCTGAAAAATTGCTTCAACATTTCTCTCCACTCTCCTCATTTTTCTCTAAACCCTAGTGGCAATCTTCATTTCTTTGCTTATCTTTCCTCTTTCTGATTTCTTCTGCTCCTATTGCTTCTCCTTCTCCTGTAATCTGGTGTCGTTTGCAATGTTCGCTATATTAGACTGTGCTCGTGGGACTTGAAGTTCTCATGGTACTAAATTATGATTGCAGTCGCTGTTGCGGTTATGATTCCGTGTCATAATTATTGATAGGGTAAATTATTCAATTGGCCACTTAACTATTTAACCCTTTTAGTTTTGCCCCCGATCTTTCAACTTGGTGTGGGACACCACTTAACTGTTTAATTTGTTTAATCAGACCACTTGCCATGGATGGAAGTGCTGACATGGCAATTTAAAGAATTGACATGATTCTACATTTAATCCTTAATATTTATATGTTATCTCAATTTATTCCTAATTTAAGTTTAATTTAATAAATAAATCATTCACTCAGGGCTTGACATGTGTCAGCACAAGACCATGACACATGTCAATACATGATTGAAGGATTTTTATTAATTTTAATTTATTTAATTAATTCATTTTATCCAATCAGGAGGTGACACAAGTCACCACGCTGAAGGAAACATGGCAATACCACTGTGCTATCTTTACGTTTTATGTTAGAAATTACAAAATAACATATATTTTGATACTAAAATTAATGCCACTAAAAATTGAGTATTTTTAATTTAATTAATAATTTAATTGTTTATTAAATATAAAATACATAAAAAATATAAACGATTTAATTTATATTTAAATGTACGAATCATTAATATTTTTTGAATATTTTATTTTTCTTGCATAAAAATATTTAAAATATTTTTATGCAAGAAAAATAAAATATTCAAAAAATATTAATGGTTCGAACATTTAAATATAAATTAAATCGTTTATATTTTTTATGCATTTTATATTTAATAAACAATTAAATTATTAATTAAATTAAAAATACTCAATTTTTAGGTGGCATTTACTTTAGTATCAAAATATATATGTTATTGTGTAATATCTAACACAAAACGTGAAGATAGCCTTGTGGTATTGCCATGCTTCCTTTAGCGCTGTAGCCAAGATTTGACTCCCCTTGGGATAAAAAATTTAATTAATTAATTAAAATTAATAAAAAATCATCCAACATATATTGACACGTGTCATTAATTTATTGAATTAAACTTAAATTAGAACCAGATTGAGAGAATATAAATATTAAAGACTAAATGTAGAATTATGTTAATTCTTTTAACTGTCACGTCTGTATTTCCATCATTCTTAATGACAAATTGTTTGATTGAACAAATTAAATAATTAAGTGATATCTTATACCAAATTAAAAGATCGATAATAAAAATAAAATGGCTAAATAATAACTGAATAATTACCCATATAGATATAAGGAACATTACGACTTGAAGTTCTCGATATTTTTATGTTATGAATACAATTTGTAATATTACAGGGACCTTAAAAAACCTTACACTGCGCTGAGTCACAATTTAACATTATGTGCCTAGTAGATGTGTCATGGCTATGTCAGCTTGTAGGCAGAGCAGATGATTACTAGTGATTAGGGATAAAGTTGGTTATGAATATGTACGTGGCACTGGCCTTATGATTTGAATATTGGAACCTACACTATTTACTAAAAGAATAAATATAATTTTAATTATTTTTATATTAATATGAGATAATTACAAGATAATATTTGTTTAAAAATAATTATTAATATTTTAATATTAAACGTTTATACCTCTACATCTATGGTGGTTAAACTAAATTTTCAAAATTGTTTATATATAATCCTTTAGAGAAATCATATAAACAGAACTGGGAAATATACAGTAGCGGGTTTTGACAAAATATTTTGGGGTTTAATTTAATTTCTTAAGTAAAGGTTTAAATTAATTTTTTAGGAGTAAATTACGTTTAATTACTTATCTATTCTCAAAGTTTCATTTTAGTCACTTAATTAATATATGATATTCTCTCAATCAAGAGACGGATATTGTTGCATCAAGTGTTGTACCTGCTCGCAAGTTGCATCTTTGTTGTTGTTCCTATTTCAGTCGGAGTCTCTGAAGTCCAATATCCTTCGAACAACTATAATTCCTTAATATGATTTTGATTGACTCACGTGATCTGCTAGAATTAAATTGATTATACAACAATATATCTTTTAGCTCCTCAGCCTATGAATAATCATCATCACTTTAGACTAACACAAATACTAAGGGTCACTATATAAATCTCTATACATGACTAAAAGGGATCCTAAACTCTAACTCTCTCAATAGATTCTTTATTTTTATTTTTTATTTTTGATAAATCTCTCAATAAATTTAAATAATCATCGTCTTCTTCAGCTCACATGAACTAACAATGGTCATAGCTCTCCCCTCAAATTAAAAGAAGTTAATCGGTTTTAGCACAATTTATATCATTCATTTTTGAATGAAAATTAATTTAATTTATATTAATTAATTAATTAAAAAATAGATAACCCAACGAAAGGGAGAGATTAATTTTAGTTCTCCCTCATTTTTATCCTATAAAAGTGAACTAAATTAGGCAAAGAGGAAATCCACAGTATACACACAATGAGGACAATATAGTCATTTACCCAATAGATGCAAATGTATAAATAGCAACCCCATAACATATCTTTTCCCATTGCAATAATAAGTATCATAATACAAAAGTTGAAAAAAAATGTCGGGAATTGTAGATAAGCTGAAGGACATGATGGGAGGCGACAGCGACGACGAAAAGAAAGAGAAAAGAAGGACAAACATCATAAAGATCACAAAGATGAAGGGATTAAGGATAAGATTACCGGTGACAAAGATGACGACGACAAACATCATAAAAAAGGTAAAGACGATAAACATCACAAGGATCACAAACATCATGATAAAGATGAAGGGATAATAGATAAGATCAAGGACAAGATCACCGGCGACAAAGACGACGACGACAAGCATCACAAGAAAAGTAAAGACGATAAACATCACAAGGATCACAAACATCATGATAAAGATGAAGGGATAATAGATAAGATCAAAGACAAGATCACCGGCGACAAAGACGACGACGACAAGCACCACAAGAAAGACAAAGACGATAAGCATCACAAGAAGGACAAGGACGGTCATGGCAGCGATGGAGAGAAGAAGAAGAAAAAGAAGGGGAAAAAGAAGCATAAAGACGGCCATAAGAGCGGCAGTGATAGTGACAGTGATTAGATCATCATCATCATCTTCGTTATTACATATGCAAGGTGTGAATGAAATATATTGATTATATGACAATAAGGTATTTCTTTTACCAAGAAAAAGGTAATCCGTATTCGTTATTACATGTGAAAAAATGTGAATACTTGTTAATTTATTGCTTTTAATTTTTATTTTATTTTATTTGTGTTAACGTGGATACACACATTTAACTTTCTACTATTTAATAAAGTATTTTATCTTATAAATTTAATTTGAGTAACATTATCAAGATATTACAACTTTAAATCATAAGTGGGATAACTACGTTGGTATGACTTTAATTGTTGTTTAGAGGACTAAATTCACTGAACGAAACATTGTGATGGCTGTTTAGTGGTATCAAAATCATGTTTGTTGGTTCAACTTGTTTTGGTTGGTCCGGTCCAACGGATGGAATTAGAAAGGTACTAGAGCTTAGTTATCCCACATGGAAACTAGTTGATTCACAGGGTCAAACATATTGCTATAGCTCAAAGTAGACCTGATATTGTCCAATTACTGCTTGAATTTGAGCCCGATGTCAAGTTCCGGAGTCGATTGGGCTCTATCCCGCTCGAGGCTGCTGCAGGCTACGACAATCAAAGAATTGATTGTTTGAATTCTTCTATTAGCAGCACATAGTGATCGGAATCCTCTCTTTGGGGTCCGGTTCACCTTGCAGCAGTGAGTGGCCAACTGGCCATATAGAGATGCTTAGACATTTAAGTTTTTACTTGGAAAGGGTGCGAACAATGATATGGCCAGAACAGGACAGGCAAAATGTTTCGATTAAATATAGGATGTCATTGTACTTCACCGAGTGACTTAGAAATTTTATGTGATTAAAATAAATATATTTCATAGTAACATAAAATAAACATTTTAACATAAAGATAAAATATGTCCAAATACTTGAAAGTAATAAAAGTCTAGTAATATAAACGCAGTTTCGAAGTAATTAAAAATAAAATCAAATTCCATAGTCTGTCAATTATTGATAGAGTAAAATACTGGTAATTGAAACTAGATCCTCAAAATATCGATCCGATCCTAATATCTTGAACTGTCTAAAAAGGATGAAAGAAACGGGGTTAGCCGAAGCTCAGTGTGGTTTGAAACTAATTCAAACAAGTAATAAATTTACAAATGAAACACACACATTTAATCATAATAGCATATAAGAAATATATAATGAACATCATATACGAGCAATTATGCATTTAATAATCATTAACAAAGCACCACATCCAAACACTTATATAATTTAAATTTATCAATATCAGCATCTCCAGTAACATCTCTAATAACAACGACTCCGATAATAAAATATAATCTCCTAACCCCGATACTTCAATAACATCGACTCCATTACCAACAATGCAATTCAAATGGAAAGTACACGTAAATTGCAACCATTTAACCTGTTTATTATATTATTATTTTATATATATACTTTAATTATTTTTTCCCTAGCGTTTTCCACAACTGGTTCCTAAGTCTCAGGTCATGGCTCCCTATTTCATATAATGGGCAGCCAAGTAAGGCACTCTATAGTTCCAATCTTATCTTTTTCTTTGTTTCCGATTGTGAAAAGTAACCAACCAACATGGCAGATTCTCCCATCATTCTCTCACTTCTTTTTAGCTAATGAACTCTCTTAATTTATATAATACTACCCTAATTAATTCCTAACAAAATCTGCCTTAAAAGTCCTTAAAATCACTCACGGAAACGTCCTCAAACTCCCCCTATTTACAGCCTTTAACTTATGAAGGAAATAGCAAAGGGTTGTTGCTCTTTTATATTATTATTCCCACTCACTTTTGTTTTTGTATTCAACAAGCACGTGGAAACCATACTTCATGGAAAGAAATAGAATATAATTATCATAATTTGCCCCTTGGGCTGATGTAACGTAGAAAATTGACTTTCAATTTTTGTAGTTTAGATTCAAGTTCATAGTCGACAAACTTGTTCTGCCTATATCATGTTTTTCCCCTAAATATTTATTATATATAAATATATATATTTAAAATCAAATTAGTCCCTACTAAAATTCCTAAATCAAATTTCAGGGTATTACAAGAACGGTGCAGCCATAGACGGAAGCGATCAATATGGATGGACAGCATTACACAGCCTTTGTTTATAACTCTACAATGTCATGTATCACGTAATCAACCTCTGTAATTACCACGTCAGCAGCGTGTAGTTTTGAATTTAGGATGCAGCTCCAAGTAATTTGAAAAGTTGCTAGTCTCAATTGCTCAGCTAAAAGAGCACGATAGAAATGATGTATGGTATAATTTTGATGATCGGTTTCAATGTGGGATGCAGAGCCATCTCGAATATTTTTAGGGTCCTGAGTGAAATTAAAAAATAAGTTCTTATAGAACGAAAGTATATTCTATTACTTTGAATAATTAATTTAATATTACATTATAATAACATGAAAAAATGATTAAATTAGGGACCTAAATTATAAAAGTAAAAGTGTGTTGAAGAAAGTAAGGGTCTCAATTATAAAGGTAAAAATGAGATTAAAAAAATTAGGGAATTAATTATAAAGGTAGAAAGTGAGATTGAAAAAAATTAAGGGTCTCTATTATAAAGGTAAAAAGTGGGACTAAAAATTAGGGATCTCAATTATTTTTTTGACCTCAATTATAAAAGTAAAAAGTGAGATTACAAAAATCAGAGGCTTCAATTATAAAAGTAAAAGTAAGATTAAAAAAATAAAAGGGCCTATAAAAAATATAGGCCCTGAGCAATTGCTCAGGGTGTTCCCTTATTAGCCAACTCTGGTGAAATGATGCAATAGAAGTAAGAATTAGGAGTTTTCAGATTTATTTGATTCTAAGCCCTATTATTAAAGAAAGGCGACCGTTATATAACAACAACAATTCCGTCTGAAACCGCTATTACACAACAATGATGCTCGTAATGATTGTAATAATATCAGTTATGGTACAATCACAATAAGCACAACACATTCGCAATCACAATTTAAATTCTTAGTCTAGAGTGAAAGGTGAATGAATGGGAATGGTTGCGCTGTAGGATCCCAAACCTATGTATTTTTACTGCATATAGCACTTTTCTTGTAACGCCCCAAATTCTGTGTTAGGAGTTTCGTGTTTTTCAACGGTCCTTAGAATAAATTTCTTTAGCTTATGAGAGGCTTGTTCCAAGTGGATTTTAGTTTGAGCTTAGGATGAGCCCAATAGGAGATAAAAAAGATGCCTTTAATCATGGACCAAAAAAGGGAGGACTAAATGAGTAAATAATCAATTTATTCAAAACAAATATGAAATCCCATTAATTGGGATGATATCACGTCTGAATTGTTCTTCTCTTTTTCATGCCACTTTTGTCTCATCCTCTTCACTTCTTCATCTTCTTTCTTCCTCCAAGTGCAAAGAAAAGTTTGAAACTTTAAGAATGTCAAGCACTCTCTAAAGTTTCCAACGTAAGAACCTTAATCTACTCCCTTAAGATTCAATTCAAGCTCTACTTTCCAGCTCGGTTTTTAGATATTTGAGTTGTAGAAACCATTTCTAGCATTGTCTTAAGTTTCAAAATGAGTTAACAACTCATTTTCCTTTGTCTTGATTAGTGAAAGAGAAATGAGAAATCTTTAAGGCAAAGGGCAAGGAGAAGCTAGTCCTTGGATGATTTGAAGATGTTTTCCATCAACTTAGCATCAAGGTAACATGTTTCTAACTTGTTCATACCACTTGTAGATCATTATATGTGTATAAATAGTTAGTTGAATTCATGAAGCATGTATGAGTAATTCATGGTAAATTCTACGTTTGATGTATTTCAGTATGAAATGTGACTCTTTTTAACCCTTAAAACCTCAAATAAAACTTAAGCAAAGCTTTAGTGGCCTTTGTAGGGCAAATGGGTAAGGTTAGATGTAACCCCCTCAGACTGATATGGGTGACCTGATCCAAGCTGAGGTGACACATTAGGGTCACCAGAGCGAACCACGATAAAATCCAGGAAAAACTAAAATTTTCTTAAACCATTTCAAATCATAAATAATTTATAAATAAAATAAAAGTTCAATAATCATTATGACGATAAAACATAATTTAATAGTATGCAATATCAAAACAAATTTCATACTCTGATATGCAAACAGACGTGCCCTCTAATTATACATGTATCGTACTCTACAAGCAATGTCGAAGGAACTCCCATTACTGATATTGATAGTTGCACTGGATCAATTCTTTTAACCTTAAATGGTGAGTAAAAGAGTGAGCTTTGGGAAAAGCTTAGTAATATTGAACTACCAAATAATGCTGAAGGACATGGAGATAAAAGGCAAAGAATAAAACTTGCTAATTAATTCAGACATCTACAGGTTTTCGTGATAAGCTGAGGTTCCACTAATATTTCTTTAGGTAATAGACAGAAAGCTTATAGTTCAGAGGAAACATTAGGAGATTGAAAACAAGTATTTAGTGTGTTCCCACAAAACTAGTATAAATGTAATCATTGTTTAAAAACAGTAGTAGTAGTTTATTTCAGTAAAATAAGTTTTTAAAAACACTGTAATACGGCCAACCGAACACTCCATATACAGTTCCCTAGTACTGTATCCATAAAGACTTACCCTATTCCCAATGGGCATAGGAGCCAATTTAAAGAAGCACCTTGGGTCCATAAAGACTTACCCTAGCCGAAGCGTAGAAGTCACCTAAGGGGAGTGCCCACAGATCCATAAGGACTTACCCTAAGCACATAGAAAATGAGCCACCCTAAGGGAATATCTTAGGGTCCATAAGGTCTTACCACTAGGCCTATTGGGCCCATGAGCCCACCCAAGGGTAGTCTTATGTCCATAAGGATTTATCAATCTAATCGAGGCTGAACCTATAGAACTCCATAACAGATCCCAGATAGTACCCCTGTTGAAAACATTTTTGATATTTCGATATAACAAATTAAGTTAAATGAATTTTAAGATTTTACAATTT